TCCTGGTGGCAGCAGCGGCAGGCTGCAGAATGATGGAATTTGCACACAGAAATGGCAAGAGCGGAACTTCCTTTTTTCCTTTTTTTCCTAGAGGTCAGAGCAGGGCGAGTGAAAGAGCTTCCCTTTCACTAGGGCAGCACAAACGGCACTTAAGTCCGAGGACAAATCTTCAGGCTTTGGGGGGCGCAGGGGCACCCAGGGGCTAAGGAGGTATAAAAGCAAATACTCACGAAGGCGAGGGAATAAAGGATACCCAACTGTGCAGTATCCACAGCGATGAAGCCAGGAAGGGCTGAAGCACTGGATAAAAAGCAAACAACTCAGTGTCTAAAAGTGGATACAAAGACACCAAAGCAGTCTTATGATTTAATGAGTTTTACATAAGTTTTTAAACTACACCATCAATACAAGGACTGAGGGCAACAAAAAAGAAGCTTCAAGCTGAATTTTAAGTGGAACAGCCTTTTGGATAGAAATGGGCAAATGGATGGATTTCTACATTGAAATTTTCAAGTGAGGGGGGGAAAAAAAAAAGAATTCTACTCTTCGGCTCCAGTATTTATGTTGTTGYTAAATCCATGGAGAATAATCAGGAAAACTAGGATTCTAATGGGGTTATGCTTTGGCTTATCCAGCAATGTTGGCATAAAAGAAGTTTGGGGGAGAGGGAGGGAAGCAAAGTAAAGCGGAGAAAGAAATGTTGATTTAATGAATTATGCAATAACAAAATGACAAGAAGTGTACCGATTGCGAATGGGTGTTTTAATCTGTTTCCAATAATGGGTCAGAAGAGTAAATAATTTCAAGACAGCAGTCCAGTAGACAAGCAACAGTTTTTAGCCCTCAGGTGTCTAAAAATGTCCAAAAATGTCTGGAAACCTTGGAGAAATCCAAGATTTTAAACCAACTTTGATAGGCAAGGACAAATACCTTCAGTAATAATAATAATAATAATAATAATAATATAGTAACAAATGGTCTTATTAGTATTTGATAGCAACAGAGAAAAGTATCTACAGGAGGGAAGAAGAAAAATATTTGAAAGTTGAAATTCAATAAAACGCATTTTGTCTTAAATATGTTAAACACAAGTTAAGTGTTGGTATTCTAAAAAATAACGATTACCCAGCTAAGACAAACAGCACTTYTACCCCCGAGCTACAGCTATGCAATTTTTATGTGAGCTTATATAGCATCCTTATTGAGTAATAGTTGAATGAAACCGCAAGCACGTACTCCTTCCAGCTATTGGGGATCCTTCCTGCTTGATTTTGAAAGGCAAGTTATTACACCTTGGCACAGGAAGCTTAATCAAGGTGTCCAGTCTTCAGTACATGCTTATAACCTTCAATTCTTTAAACCTCAGTGAAATTCAAGCTCACATGCATTTCAGCTAATAGATTTCCAAAGTCAACCACAGCGTCCAGTTGTGGGTTTCAGACTGACAGACARCTTCATGCATTCAACCCATGCCCAAAAAGCTGATCCTGACGGTGCTGATAAGCCTGTGACTCAGCTTGATCAGAGCACTATCCCCTGCTAAGTCCATTTCAGACCAGCATGTACAGTAGTCTCCGAGAATCCTTATTTCATTTGTAGAGTTTTGTTGTTTTTGTACTTTTAAGTAGATGAAATAGAAAAAGAAACTGGAATCGAGTTTATTTATATAAGAATATTTTACTTAAAATACACATGCAGAGTCGATTAAACATATTCCACTYTCTGGATTTATTTCCAATACAGATCAACAACGAAGTATCAATGAACACAAAGTTATCTTAATTATCTTTCTTTAGGAGGATTAGGATTCTTGCGTCTTCTGTGATACCTAAAAGAAAAAAAAAGGGCTGCAGTGAGCACAAACATTGGAAAGTCTTTGATTTTCCTGATTTTTTGTTCCAGAAAGTAATACAGAGGTTATACAAACAAGCAGAAGACAAGATACACAAGCACAGCCTCCCGCTGCCCACGAGCTGTTACCTGTGTTGTCCAAAGAGCTCCGCAGCGGCACTCGCCTCTACTGCTCTGGCTGCTACGGGAGCACAAAAACCCTGCCCGTTCCACAGCTGCCTAGGTACTAAGGCTGCTCTTTATTCTTAATGCTTTGCATGAAGTGACTTCTGCTTTCGTCAGCTCTTCCTTTGTTAAAAGGATTGCGACAGAAGAAAGGCTTTATGTTTAAGGGAGTTGTGTTAGCCTGAACTTTAAATATATATGTCATCGAAATGACAACTACTCTTGGCCCATGAAGAATTCTACCCCTTCATTCCTTTTATCTGTGCTAGTAATAGGATAATTAAAGTTTTCCATAGATACAAATCATCTGAAATCCACCCCATTTTTTCTGAAAACTAAGGAATAGACAGTTTTTTTTTCCCAAGCTGTAATTGGTTTTGTCCATTAAGGGTATTTTACATGAAATTTTCTTATGCTGATTTCACCTATGCAACATTAAAAAACAACAATGCAGCAGTTAACTGAGTAAATTACGTGATTATACGCAGTGCATATGTGAGGATAATCATGTGCACAAGTTATGTGCTACTTAATGATATATCTTAACCTCTCAAACCATTTCCCCCTTAGACAGCCTTTGCAACTTAAAACTCCTACAAACAATCTTCCATTTACAAAAMACTACACTTAGATTTTTATGTAGTAGCTCATGTGCTAAGAATATCTCATCATATAATGAATTATCCTGGGTTGAATCCAGTCCAATCCAGTTCTTATATTGTCTTTTACCGCTGAAAGGACAGACACTGAAAATACTTACTGTCCCACTGGATACCAGCGATGCTTCGTCGTGTAAAACATTTTGCTGAGCTCTTCAATTGTAGGACCCTTCTTGTTCTGTAGCTCCTCTTCATTCAATCTGGATTTCAACACTTGATCATGAGTTTCTTCTTTATTATTCACTGGATCTGGCCGTGGTATGGGCTACAAAAATAATAGTGAATACACATCTGAACAACAAATATACACATTTCTTCAAAAAGAGTTAACAAGTCAAACCACATTGGTAACGAATGTTATCCTCTACTCTTAGAAGCTGTACTCCTTTCCAGAACAACATTTGCAAATATGAAGGCAGTCCATCTTCAGCACCCCACCCACGCCACCAGCACTGTCCYAGGAACGGCTGCTTACTCCAGTGGCTAGAGCTGCCCCGAAAGCGGCACTTCAGCCATCGCCCCTTTCTCATGCTCACCATTCACTCCCGAGCTGTAAGCTTGGATTCTACTAATATTATTCCTACTCATAATTTATTCATGGCAGCCTCATTTACATTGATAAAAAAGGCTTTTATAGGATTTGTATTGTGGAGAAGAATGTCACTTCCTATTTGTAATACTAGATGACAACAGTACGATTGTTCTCAACTTACAACTTTACTATCGGCACTGCTACAAATATTTTTAAGACATGCAATTGATTGTTATTTAATATATATATATAAAAATATACACATACACACACCAATATGTAAATTACAGGGAAAGAACGTTCCCCACTGCTTTGTTTTCAACTGAGATTTTTAATATTGTACATTTCTGCAGCACAGATAACACTGTGGTATTTCACCAGTACTAAGAACTGGGAAGGGACACTGATTACAAAAGTGTGCCAAGACTTCCTTCCTTCAAACTGCAGTGTCAAGTACGTGTAGAGTCTGCTACTGAGGGGTAAAATTTCAGTACATTCTAAAATGTGAAACTTTTAGTGGAGCTTATGATCCAGGTGCTGAATGGAACTGAAAACTGCCAGAGCTGAGAGCAGCAGCAGCGCTTCTCTATATCCTTTTCTCCAGCCCACTGCATCTGGTCACAGTAGGCTGAGCAAACTATAACACACATCAAACATTGCCCATAGCACCAAACCCCTTTGAAAAACATGCTCTTAGACAATTATTAGCTTGTTTTTTTTTTCCTGTAGTACACAAGTATTTTAGTACCTCACTTTATCTGAGTTAATGGACATTGTGGCACCTGTGCATTTCTTAACCCAAGTCTCCCTCACTTCAATAAGAAATAAACTCCTCCTCCTGACAGCAGCTGTGTTCATCAGTCACTCACTTCACATGTGTTCTGGTCACGCAATATGAAAGTATCTCAGCTTTCCAAATAAACAAATAAATAAAATCTCCAAAGGCTCCACATTAAGAGCTGCTAATACATTCACATGAGCAGGAAATTTCACTCTAAATTTGGACATACTTTTGTGCACTCATACGGAATCTCAAGTGATGGGTGGTAACAGACGATTGTCTTCAAATCTGATGTCAGTGCAAGCTCCACTTTGCTRTAAAAATAAAAATTTACATTTGTTACTACACACCGTACAATCTGCAGAGATGCCGAGTGATGGAGGAGCCCGAGTCACAAAGGAAATCGGATTTGACCCTGCATTTAAGATTTCAAGAATCTTAAATAAAACAAACTCTTATTAAAAAAAAAAAGAGGGACGGGGAGGGGGGAAGAGAGATGGGCACAAATAAATTATCTGAACTTCATTGTGCTGTTTTCCAGATATTTTCATTATTTGCATTCTTCTTTCTGGATGGAAAGGAAGAAAAGCTGAAAAGAAAGCATCAAAGATACCTGGAAATATGTTGTAGAAAAAAGTCTGCAAGGCTCTGAATAATTATACAAAACTGTAGGAGACAAGAATAATGAACATCTGGAGGTTCATATCGTGCATTTTGCAGATGGTGAGCATGAAAAACCCAACTCTACTGAGATTTTCCTTGAGAGAGAGTATAGCTTTTTTTTTTTTTCTTATCTTCCTTCCCTATTACCACCTGCAACACACTAGCTGCCTTCCCGAGAGCTTCAATGACACAGATACCACGTTCTTCATTGTATTTATATAATCTTTTCTAGTTTCTATGCAAGTTTCCCACATAACAGCATGAAAGTGCCTGGACATTTTCCAAACTAGTCGCAGTGAAAACGATGACACTTAAATTAGTTTTGCTTTCCTCAGAGAGAACTACGGTGCTACAATGGTCATCACCACATTCAGAACATGAACCCTGCATTTCATCACGTTCAATTTTGAAATATTAGTTTCATAATTACTAAGATCAGAAACAATACTTTAGTTAAGGCTATAAYACATAAACCAGAGTGACAGAAGGGATGATATGAGAACCTCACAGCAGAGCAAGGAGCTCTGCAGCAGTTGCCCTAGGGAGGGCCACCCWTTAGAGCAGATTTATGTACTCACCAATTGTAGTCATCAGGGAGAGCCGAGTAAGTGGATTTATGGCAAGGATGACTTACAGCTCTGTCTGCAAGAACAAGTACAAAACACTAACGTAAAACAAGCAAATTGTGCCAGATTTAAGAATGTGAAGGTTATGTTTTCATTCTAAGAACCAAAGTCCTACTCACAGATTGATTATGATAATCAGTTTTAGATTTAAAARAAAAAATGCCTAAACAAAAAACCTCACTTTGCTATCCTGATTTCTAGCCTGGCCATGAATACAGTATATAGCTAGTTACACTTTAGAATCAACTTTGCTCTGTACAGTTTTGCTACAAAAAAAATAAATAAAAAAGACAGTATCGACAAAACAGAGGTTTAACCATCAGAATATATTCTTCACACAGAATATACAGACAACAAAAACTAGCATATGAGCCTATAGGGAACATTTATTTAAACTGGTAACTTTCCATTTCATAGTCATTCATTTCCACATACTGAAATAACACATGTAAGTATGAAAAACTCTGCTAGCAACTATAAAACACTCGTTTGTATGTAGCTATCTTTTCTATGATCATGACACTATATGCGTATTGAACRTAATTTTTCTTTCTCTAAATGTAAGCTTCTTACTCTAACTTTACTTCTCCATTCACATACCAGTCCTTAGCCTCATGAGTACAATACTTCATTTTACAAATCTTGTCTTTTGCATTTTCAGTATTTCCTACTCTAATTTAGGATRCATTATGTCTCAAGGTGTCTCTTCTTGAAGTCACTCTTTTTGATTGTAAAAATACCTGTCAGTACTAAGAGTAGAGGCTCAACAGCTATTACAYTTCATAATCATGCTCAGAAAACTCTTGCGTATATTTGTTATATCCCAGCAGCCTACCACATTCAGTAAATGAAGGACAAAGTTGAGCTCTAGTATGGTATTATCACAAATAGTTCAGATTTTCCTCTTCTCGCCTAACAAGCTGTTAAATTTAACAGGTTCATTGTATTTCCCCTATTCTCCTCTTTTCTACTACCTTGACTATCTTCCCTACATCTTTCTATTTCTCCCTACATCTAAAATAYGGACAAAAAACCAAGAGAGAACATTCCTCATTTTCACATCTTCTCTATTTAAAATAATGAGCTTTTTTTGCCATAGCCTTTTTCTCAGCATTGCTTCTGTGTCTGAAAAATCAAATTTAAATCTTGAAAGACAGTATTTTACTACTGTGAGGAGGAGTATTATTTAAAAGTTAATACATAAGTTAGAGAAGTGTTATCTGATGACATCGGTAACTTTAATAGCAACCAAATCAAAATATCACGATTATTAAGAGAGAACACTGAGCATCAGATTCAATCCTCGAAGACTGTTCAAATAAAAATCTGCTTTTGTGCTTCTGTTACTTAGGGTTTAGTCGAGAGAAGAATCTCTGAAGGAGCCCAGGCTTACTGCAGCTCTCACACACAGGCCTCGCTACTCACTGCGTGCTGGGGCCGCCAGCGCTCGCAGCCACAGCGCGCCGCAGCACGCGGCTCTGCGCGACGCTGCCGCCATGCCCGGAGCAGACAGGAAACCGGACGAGACGGAGCCGGGTGCGCGATCCCTTTTTCCAGGCCAACTCCCTCTGAAAGAAACAAGTTTTGTAACGACTGTGCAGAATGCTAAAGACTCACAGCTGAATTGACTTAAGCAGGCACATAAAACTTGTGTGGCATGTTACACGTTGTTTGGTGGCTGTTGAGAAGCCCTTGTGATTTTAGATACTGGCACCTGTCTCCTGAACAGTCAAACATGGTATAGGATTTTATTTAGTGAGAAACGCTCTCTGAGGACTCAAAGAACTTGCAGATTTCCAAGGTCTTCTTACAGATTTTTTTTCCCTAATGTTGTTTACTACATGAAATGCTACTATCTACATGGAATTATGGCAAAAACTGCCATTTTCATGATGTAAATATTATCATCCAGTATAAAATGCTCATAAATAACTTTTGTCTAATCAAATGCCAACAGTGGATCAGAATTTGCAATTGGCCCTGCAAATCTAGGCCAGAAAATAGAAATTTGATATGCATGTTTGSTGCAGTTTACAGAGTATCTAGACAAAGCTGGTTCCACTCTTGTAATCTCAAAAGCAACCTATAATATAGCCACAGAATATCATTCAGAAAACCTTTAGTACACCAAGTTTCATAGAAGCACAAAATCATGCTAAAATCCCCAGTGTCCATAAAGTAAGAGTTCTAGAAGCAACCCGAAAATTAAGATGCTCACAAAATCAGTCGTTAACCCACCGGGAGGGGCAGAAGCCAGCGTGCTCCAGGAGCCCTTCGCAGCCTAAACGACTAAATACGGGGGAGTTAGCACGTAAAGGGTGAAACTGAACGAGCCAACCCACCCAGCACAAAAGCTCGCTTCCTCTGGCTCGTTGCGACGCCGAGTTTGGGACTTCCCTGCAGCAGTCGGGCACGCCTGATGGACGGATACTAAATAAATTAATTAACTAAACAGCAGTGGCAGCGTTGCGCAGCGCGGCCGCCCCCGCACGACCTGCCAGGGCCCCTCCGCTACAGACAACCGTTCCCACACGCCACCAGCGCGGCCGTTACCTGCCCCAACGGCCGCCCGCGGCGCGCCGGAAGCGCCCGCGGCGCGCCCGCTTCCGGGCGCGCGGCACGCCGGGAGCTGTAGTCGGGGCGGCACGCTGTGCGAGGCGCCGCGCGGGGCGGGCGCTTGAGGGGCTCTTCCAGCCCTCCTGCTGCCGCAGCGCCTTGRGGCCGGCCAGGCCGCGGGAAATTCAGGCTGGATTTCAGCAGGATTAGTATATTGAGGGKTTTTTTTTTTTCATTGAAACCAAWGTTGCAGAATTGTCTCTGCAATAAGCAGTTGGATTCCTTGGTTTCTACAAAATCTGGAGTGGAAAAGTTGCTCTGCAATCATATCTAAAATTAAAACTATTTGTGAAGGGATGGATTTGTTCTTTTTTTTTTTTTTTTGGCAAAGATGATTTCCCAAGATAATAAGGATAATAAGATACTCGAATCTCTCCAAAGTTCTATAAATTTTAAATCTCTATTTCTAAGGAGACATTGCAATTTATTTAGGGCAACCCTCAAATCTTCGCAAGTGACACTGTAGCCTGACAGATTTCTGTATTTTAAGTCAAAATGTAGACAATCCTGCACTTAAGTCAATAGGTCATGGTCATCCTGTAGCGGACCTCAYGCGTATTGTAACCTCTTTACCCAGTTCCCATTCCCCTGCTTCTACTCCCATCCTTACCTCCCGAGCAGGTAAAATTTGGGCCCCTGTTTCCCTGCGGCCCCAGGAGCCTCAGCCAGCGCTGCCACTTTCAATCAGGCCCAAGTTCCTCAGCGACTGCTGTGGCTGAAGCGCAGACCGCTGAACCTCTGGGCCTCAGTTTCGCTCTCTGTACATGGGGATAGTACTTCTTTTAAAGCACTCTGGATTTACTGACTAAAGATTTTTAATGTACAATCTGGGTATTTCTGTGAGAATTCGTTTTGTACTTACATGTACATATATATACTTCCTCGGCTAATCTTGCTGAAGAGTCTTTACATGGTATTAGATAAAAAACATCAAAATGCTTTTAAGYAAAACACAGAATTTAGGGGTCAAAATAGTAGTCTTACCGTAATTAAAAATCTAGGATTGCCAAAGTGGGGAGGAAGAGGAGGAGGAAGAGGAAGTAAGATTAGTCAGCCACAGGCTCAGCTGGTCTAGATCCACCCACCCAAATGAGTAACTGGATGACAGTAAAAGCCGTCATAGGAAGGTGGTCATCAGCTGTCCTGGGAATACTGGGCTGTCCTGGGAATATTAATTACATAATTGCAATTATTTCCTTATTGTTTCTTCCGACGGTGACGTGGCAGAGCACCTTGTTGGTTATGGGGTGGCTTAGTTCTGTTCCCCAAACTGGGCTGCCCCAGTGATGTGGCTGTCACAGATTTGTGCAACAAGGAGCGTTGTGCTCTTCGCTGTGGCCTTTGCGTAAGTGCAGAGGCACCAGACAGACTGGGCCAGCTGGGCAGGTGCTGGAAACTTCCTCCTCCCTTTCACGCTGCTTCTCGTGTGCCAGCTGCAAGCCCTCAGCGTGCAGGGCAGAACGCTGGTCCAGCCAGAAAGAAGACACTTAGATAAGCACTGRTGTGAGGAAGGATGCCGGAGAACCAGGCAGAAGGCAGGGAAAGAAAGCGGAGCTCAGGGGTGCCTGTAACTTGACAAGGGTGAAAAGAAGCCTCCAGTGTTGACCCGACGCATCAGGGCACGTGGTGGGGGAAATCTCACTCCTGCTCCCCTTAGGCCAGCTCAACTCACTCCAGCAGGGGATGCACCAGCTGCTCTTCTTCTGCGAAATGAGTGAGCTGCAGGAGCCAGGACTGAGCTGCACATGAGGCCCTGGGGCGAGGCAGGACGGGAGAGGGCGTGAGGCAGGAATGGGAAATGAGGCCTCCTCCACTTGACAGGCCGACCGAGCGGCCTCCCAGCTGTAACTTCACCCCAAACACGTGGCTTCGCTTTCTCCCCTGCCCCTGAGCCTGAGCAGCAAGGCAAATTCAGGGCGGTGAAACCACCCGCTGAGTATGCAGTGTTTGGGCCAGCCTCACTGGAGACGGGCTGTGGGAGCGAATTCTGGTGTAAGAGGCACCTGCAGATGCYGCCAAACTTAATAATTAACACTACACCTAAATTTGTTTTGAAATGAGTGCATGTGGTGCATGTGTAACCCTTTATAAAAGCCAACCAGCTGTGACTGTAGCGAGGAAAGGTAACTTTTTCTAACCTGAGCCTGTACGTGCAGACCTGAGTTTAAAGATCTGAGTGAACATGGAGCTCAGGCAGCGGCTGGGGGGGAGGTGGGGAGGAAGGGCAGCCCCTGGGAAGGCCGTTGAAGATAAAGTTTCCTGCCACTCCTTCATCTAGACAGACATCGGGATATTGATGTAGAGGTAAAAGGATTATGGAATTTTCTTCCTGCGCTGCAGGGTTTATGTCAAGGATATGAGAGAAGCCAAGGCTGGGCAGCACCGGTGCTAAGAGATCATCAGGCAACAATTCAAATGACAAAAAATCAGCTGAATTTGAACAAAAATATAATTCTCAATGACTGCCAAATAAATAGCATCTTCCTATCTGGCAAAAAAAAAAAAAAAAATGACAGGTTGAGTCAGGGAAGGCAGCTGCCTAAATGAGGATGCATGACTACATTAATTATATAACTACAGATGAAAGCGGAACATTCTTTTTAACATCAAATCTTTATTTTGGAGGGGAAAAAAGAAAAAAGGAGGGTGTCCAGATGCTCTGCAAGCAGAAGAACAAACTGTCTACTTCCACCCTGTGGAGGAAATCCCTGCGCCCCAGCGCAGTGCTTGCAGTACGTGGCCTGGGAAGCAGGGAAGAGAAGACCGGCCCCGCTTCAGCTGAGCTCGGCAGCCCACGGCAGTGCTGGACGTGGCTCTGGCAGCGGCCGCGGGGAGCAGAGCCGCCGCAGCGGGTGGCCGGCCACGCTCTCCAGGGAGCCGCCAAGTCGGGGGCGAGCAGAGCAGAGCTGCGCTCCGCATGTGAGAACCTCGGTGCAGCCGAAGAGACAAAGCTCCCCGGGCACTCGGGTGCTCGTCCCAGCTCYGCTTTACAGGCTTGGGCTGGGATTCCTTTGGGAATGTTAGAAGGCTATAAAAGAAGGACATTTTTTACTGTATCTCCTCCTGGAAGATATCACTTTGTACTGAAACAGTGCAAAGAGTCAAAGTATAAAGCCAGGATTGTGGTGTAGCCAGTTCGGATGGCTTTTTTGGCAGTCCTATGGATAGTCAGGGACCGCTGCAACAGCCCTTCTAGGGAGTTAGGCTGACTTAGGGGAAGGACCTAAACCTGCCATCTCCAAGCAAGTGGGCTACAAAAGCCTCTTCCTAAAGGAGGTGGGAAGAGAGTCCTCATGAAAACYGTAGCTTTGCCAGCACGTGGCAGGCCAAACTCCCAAACTCCCAAAGCACACGGGCCTGCCGGGGAGACTGGCTGCCGCCCCACGCAGAGCGGAGGCTCTTGCTCCAGAGCCCTTGCAGGGCACAGAGGAGACAACATTCCCGGGTCCTTGCTTGGCCCAGGGGTGTCCCGTGCTCCTGCTGCATGCAGCAGGTGAAGAGCAGGGTGTGCAGAGCAGGAGGCCCAGTGCTCACCAGGAAGCAGATGGTATTTGATCACACGCTGAGCCTGAATTCAGCTTTGGGCTCAGGCTTTTCCTCCACTAATGCCAGGCCTTTAATAGTAGTTCAGGAGAAGAATAAAAGTACAGGAAAAAAAAAAAAAAAAAGAGAAGGTAGAAACAAAGAAAGAAGAAGTAATTCTGCAAGCAGTGTAACAGAAGAGCTTGATTTGATTTTAATGGCTTTGGACTTGAAGCTTTGGCCCTGTGAAGATTCTCTCATGTCTAATAAGTGTTTGTGTCATGGAGTCTTCCCCCTGAGGGAGTACCAACTTTTATTTCCTCTGCCTGCCTATTTTCATTAAATTCACATGGAATCAGTATCTYCAGCCTCCCCAGCTATATTTGCAAATTTGGCTGAAGCCAGCAAGTTCATACAAGGGGCACTAGGGTAGGCAGAAGGGGAAGTCTTTCCAGTTTCGGTTCCTAACCTGCCTACAGTACCACGTGAAGCTCGGACAGCACSGAGACAGCAACATTATAAATATCCCACGTGGACACATTTCTCCCACGCATCTCAGTGTAGCAGCTACATCAGAGCCAAGCCCTAGTTATTGCTGGGTGTCATAGCAACACCATTACAAACATTTCCAATTATTTATGAACCCTCAAGATTATAAAAATGTTAATTCCATCTTTTTATCTCTGCCCTCAGTTTTCCCTCCGGCCTCCCAAAACAATGTTCACTGTAATCCCATTCCTCAAAAGTAATTAAATTCCTTAACCCATCCCCATGCTGTACAGTGGTAAGCACTTATTTATATGCTGGCCAACACTCCGCAGTGCTTGTCTCTACATTTTGTTGATTCATGTAAACTGGTGCTGCTCTCCCAAGGGGGAGACATTTTGAGAGGGCAGTACTGTGTTTAGRCCTTTAAAGATTCACTGTAGAGTAAACTGCCATCTGTGAAGATCTGCATACTAGAAAGGGGTACTAAATATAGCCTCCAAAATCCTTCAATCAAATAAGGATAACTGGAGAGCAATTTTAGTACCACATGGGCTCTAAACCTGCCACACAAGCCCAGGCTGGAAAYTCTGAGTTTAAACACCTAAGGTTCACATTTGCCCACAGCAAGAGCATAACACAGCACAGATTTCTTTTAGACTATTTGTCCCTGTCAAAATTCAGGGGAGTGGGAGCTTGCAATGCAGTCACTTGGGAGAGATTTCACAATTGTGTGGGGGATTTTTCCTAGTTGAGAAAATAAACACTAAACCAAACAAAAGCCAAACAGCAACAAGCCAATAAATCATCAATACCTACAGCACCAGAATCAAACAGCAAAGCACTGTTTGACGTGTGTGAAGAAAAGGACCCCATGCAGCCTCGATTACAACTGTTTATTATAAAGCGTTCAGTGTATTATCAGCAAGACAAGGATTTGCTAGGGAATCACATTCCAACCTGGCCAATTTCCCAATGAGGGCTGCAAGCCAACTCACCCTTGTCCACCACAGAAGGAGGGTCTGCTGCTGATCACATCTCCTAGCCCTGATTCTGCAAACACCTTTTCAGGCACTTGTGTTGCACGTCACCTCAGCGATGACTTCCGAGAAACATCCAGAAAGTTGGGGAAGTGTTTAAGAAGCTGAGACTGTCTCCAGGAGCTTAGAGAGGTAAAGCTCTGTTGTGAATTTGCGTAAAATTTGATGTTACTGGCGTGTTGAACAAGCTGAGGATATCAAACAGCGAACAACAACCCAGCACCTGTTGGCTGGCTCAGCGGGAAGGGCAGAGAAGGAGGAAATCGGGGCTGTTGTTGGGACACACTGAAGGCGGAGCCTCCCACGCAGGGGGTTACCGCAAACTCCGGCCTACCTGGACGGCCTCCCGCTCCTCCAGCGAGCCCTGCCCGGTCCGCCGAGGCCAGGGCAGGGCAGGAAGGCGCCCGCGAGGCCGCCCTGGCGCGAGGCCGCCGCGCTGCGGGGCGCCCCGCGGCTGCGGACAC